AGGAGAAGCCAGAGAGAGAAAAGCAGAGAGTAGAAAACTTCAGCTATAATTTCAGGCTGGGCCTGGGAGAGGCGGAAGGAGAATAAAAGGAGGGGTTGCTTTGAGTCTGAGGGGACCAGAGAGGGCCTGTGAGGCTATATTTGCATATGGCAGTGGTGAGAGATCAGGAGGGCAGGTGAGGAAGTTTTGATCGGGGAAAGGCCTTAGAAAGAGTTAAAATTATTTGCTAAGTATGGCAGTGTTGACAGAGAGGATAGAGAAAGAGCTGTCTCTGCTTATCCCAAATTGGTCTGGTGTTATCCAGAAGGCCAGCAATGGAAAGTGGCAGAAAGCCTCCAGGAAGATTGTCTTCTCGACAATTTGAAGAGGAGCAGTAATGAAGCAGATCAAGCCCATGGAGGAGTGAAAAGAATTAGGGGAATCTAGCACATCTTAGGTGCCTTTAGGCCAGAGAGAAAGGACAGGTTACATAGAGGAGAGAGAGCTAATTTTACAGAGTTTGCAGAGAATGTTAATAGGAAATCAGACTCCAAGGAGGTAGAGAGACCAAGACATGAAAGTGGACAGTAAGGAAAGTTTGAGCATAGAAAAACCTCTGATCATTTGCTATTTTAGTATTTATGACCTATCAACAATCTGCGTTATGCAGATGACACACCCTGTTTGTTGAAACTGAGGAGGACCTGAAGTGCTTGCTGCTGAGGGTCAAGGACTGCAGCCTCCAATATGGATTGAGGATCAATGTCAAGAAGACAAAGATTCTCATGACTGGACCAATTGGCAGCATCAGGATGGATGGTGAAGAGATTGAGATTGTTCACAGCTTTAGTTTGCTTGGCTCCACAGTCAACACTCTTGGCATCAGCAGCCAGGAAATTAAAAGACGTATTGCAATGGGAAAGTCTGCTGTTAGGGACCTCTCCAAAGTACTGAAGAGCAATGGTGTCTCTCTGGAGACGAAGGTGCATCTAATATGGCCGTGGTCTTTGCAATCACTTGTTATGCGTCAGAGAGTTGGACAATGACCAAGGAGGATAGAAGGAGAATTGATGCCTTTGAGCTGTGGTGCTGGAGAAGAGTATTGAATGTACCATGGACTGCTAAGAATATCAACAGGTTTATCTTGGAGAGGGTTAAACCAGGCTGCTCCTTGGAGGCAAGGATTCTGAGGCTTCGTCTGACATACTTTGGACATGTTGTAAGGAGGGACAGCGCAGGAGGGGAAGGCCCTCTATGAGTTGGATTGATTCAGTGACTGGGGTAATCGGGATGGGTGTGTCAGAGGCAGTGCGATTGGCACAGGACAGAGCAGAGTTTAGGGCTGTTGTACATAGGGTTGCTATGAGTCGCAAGTGACTCGGTGGCACATAACACCACCAACAACACAACAACACCAACAACATGTTTTTGAAGGACAGTTGGATTTAACGAGCCAAGTTGAGGTTACAAAATTTGAGATTGCTTTAAATTAGATGTGATGCTGAAGATGTATAAATTTTAGAGGAGGCAGATTAGGTGTAATGCCAACGGTGCGAGGGTTTTAGATTAGGCGTAATGTCAGAGGTGCGTGAGTTTTAGAGGAGAAGATCTGTCCCCGGGACAGGTCCTGCCTTTCTTTCAAGGTAAAGTAAGCTGGGCTATGTAGAATCTGGCAGAATCGGATGTCAACTCCACAAGTAGATAAATCCTTCTGACTGTGGGTTGTCAGGAGGGGACCCCTGGGGCCTGCAGGGAAAGGAAAAGGGGAGTTGATCAGTCCCTGAGCACCTCAAGGAGCGATCATGGGCTCTTACCTTGGAGGGCTGGCTTTAGGTGCTTGAGAATTGGAGCTGGTGTTGGATGTTTTCAGATTTAAAAGGCAAATAGTCTTCAATCTTTAGGACCAGAAAGAAAGTTGATAGGAGAGAAGGACAATACAGAGATGGAGAAGTTTGGCCTATTTTGGAGAGTACAAGCCAGACCAATAAAGGACCCAGACAGGCTCTTGTGCCAGTCACGAGGCATAGGCTGCACAAACTGCTGCTTGAGAAAGCAGGTAGGCTTTGGGTTCCTTTTTGGCGGCTGATAAGCCGCAGTGACCTTGGCGGGTATTGTTGCTCTCCAGGTTGGCCAGTTGTGGAAAAACGGAAAGAAGGTTTTGGCCTATGACTGGGCATTCTTCCCAGCTAGGTTCGTTTCCTGGTCAGGGAACTATATGTTAAAAAAAGAGTTGAGGGCAAGAGAGTGAAAGAAAGAAACTGGTTCCAAGAAACAAACAGGCCTTTATTGCATGGTCTGAGAGGGATGCCAAGTGACCAGGAGCTGAGAAAGTCAAAATGGTGTGCCCACTATTAGGGACAGTTTCTTTTTATAGAGGTCTTGGGGAGGGCCCCAGAATGGGTTGGGGTTCATTTCTGCTGTTCATAGGGTCACTATGAGTCAATTCCACAATAATTAACAACAGTGGTGCTTCTACCGGTGCATTGTTTTAGTACTTGTCTACTAGTGGAAAGGCTGGCAGTTTGAACCCCTTTAGCTGCTCTTCAGCAGAAAGCCTAGCTATCCCCTCCCATAGATTACAGCCTAGAAAATATGGAGTTCTAATCTGAAGAATGGGGTCCCTAATGATGTGGGGCTCTTATGGCTTAGTGGTAAGTTTCCCTGCCAACCCAAAAGCAGTTGGTTTGAATCCACCAGCTGTTCCATAAGAGAAAGATGAACAATCTCCTCCTGTGTGGTTTATAATCTCAGAAAACCTGCCAAAGGGTCAGCTATGAGTCAGTTCTGACCCAAGGGTCCCTAACAACAACAACAACAACAACAACAACAACAACAACAACAACAAGTGCAGTCAGCCCAGTGGCATAAACTGCAGTAGTGCCCTTTAGCACCGCTGCTATTTGCCTGACTGCAAAGCCTTGCACCTTGCCCCCACTTCTGCTACCTCTTTTTTCTAAGTAATCTTGGGATTCAGAGGATCAGAACACTGTTAATAATAGCTAGTGGATTTCATGATTTCTACAGAAAAGGGAAGAGATCTGACGAAGGGTTACATTCTGACAGGGCAGGTGGCACAGACTCCAGGGTGGTCATCACCCCTGTGACCTGCTGGTCCCTGACCCTCCTGCTGACCTCTGTCCTCTCTCTCCTGCCCTGGAGACCCCAGGCATGTGAACCAAGCAAGTGCATTTCTCTGTCCTCCCATTTGTGAGCTGTCCTGGCAGGACATGGCTGGGAACCAGGACTAGACCAGGCCAGCCATCATGACCACTTTGGAGCATAAATGACTTCTCAGCTTTTCAATGGCATTGTAAAGGCTGGAAAGTCAGACCCCAGCTTGACAGCCACACAGCCTCCCGTCCGGTCCTGCAGGCCAGTGAGGGAAAGTAGGCTGGAGCTAGCCCATGTGGCTGAGGTTCAGCAGGCATCACACCACATGCCCGGGCCTTTGCTGGGCCCTGTCCCTATGTCAAGTAGCCTGTCTGTGGAAGACACCATCATGGTGGCCACAGTGAGGTTAAGTAAAGTGACCCTGAGTGGACTTGCTTCTCAACACAGGTCTCCAGTGCAGCAGAAACAGAAGCTATGACCAGCTGGAAGTTGGTAAAGAGTCATGCATACTCTGTCACAGGGGCTGAAGAGGTAAAATTGGGCTGGGAGTGGTGGTGGAAGGAAAGGGACGATAATATTGCTATCAGTTTGGGGTGGTGTGTGTGTGACAGCAAAAGAGAGAGAGAGAGAGAGAGAGAGAGGCAGAGAGATTCAAGGATTAAGAAAACCAGGCCTGGCTTTTTCTCTCTCCTCTCCTTGGTACAACACGTGTGTCAAGCTGGAGTATGACAGCATAGTAATGGGAAGGAAGTCAGCCATTTCTTACTCTTCTGCCGCCTAAAAAGCTTTAACTGTAATTTTCATCATCTTCATTTATCTCATTCTGCCCATTTCTCAAAAGGAATTAGGAAATTTATGGCAAAAGCCATAGACACAATGGAACCTACAACAAAGGTAAAATGCACTAAACTATCTGGGTTGAAGAGAGTTAGTGGCTTAGTGGTAAGAAATTGCACAGCCAACACAAAAATACGGTGTTCAAATCCATAAGCTGCTTTGCAGGAGTAAGATGGGCACTGTCCTCCTGTGTGAGTTACAGCCTCTGAATATCCACTGGAGGGTCAGCTATGATTCAGTTCCAAATTGATGCTTCAGAACAATGTGTAGGTTGAAGGCAATGCTCCAATGAGAAAGAAGTTTTGAATTGGTTTTCTGGTGGTTGAGACAGAGAACAATGAGTATCCTAATTCTTGCTGTTATTTAAAATGGATGAGTGAATGCCAACTGCATTTTGTAGAGTTTGTGTTTCCTGACTATGCCCTACAAGCAGGTTAGTCCCACCAATATGAACTGAGCACACATGTGTATACTGTGGTTTAGGGCATGCCAGAAGACACACACAACAGCCAGGTTCTAGCAGCTCTTTGTGTTTGAGAATGCAAGCATTGATTTCCACTATTGCAAAAAGGAGAGATCCTCCTATTTTTCTTCAGAAAACGTAAATCCATTCTCTACATAATTAAGCATATTAAAAGCTAAATAAACCCTTTACCAAAGCTTAACCAGTTCCTGCTGAGTCCACTCCAACCCATATATTAGAGGAGTCCAGCTGTGCTCCCAGCTGTGTTCTTTGGGAGGAGATTGCTAGGCCTTTGGAGATGTGTCTGGGCAGACCTGTACCTTAAACATTTAGCCAGCTGCCAAGTGTGTTAAGTGTTCACATCACTTGAACGAATCCTTTACAAATGTTACAGCCTAGGAATGTCTTTCTCAAAGACCCGACGGCTCTTTTCAAAGTGTCATTATCAAGGAAGGGAGTGTTCCTGTCTCCATAGGAATTTAACTTATGAGCCTGGTTCCAAAGTGTAATTACAATTAATGCTACAAGTTATAATTCAAGCCTCAAGTTGTAATAATGAAGAATTTTATGAAGAAATTATTCAATGAGGCATCAAAAGAAGGAAGGGATTTACAGTCACTGTACCCAAAGAAATGGTAGGCACCGAACCATTTCAGGAAACATCATATGATCAAGAACAATTAGTAATAAAGAAAGGAATCCAAGTTACACTGAAGGCATTGGCAACAAATAAGACCTTGGGAATTCATGGAATACCAATGGAGATGTTTCAGGAAACAGATGCAGCCCTGGATTTGCTCACCAGTCTATGCCAAGAAATTTGATAGACAATTACTTGGCCAACTGACTGGAAGAGATCCACCTTTGTTCACATTGAAAAAAAGATGATTCAAAAGAGTGTGAAAAATTATAGAACAATATCATCAACATCACATGCAAGTAAAATCTTGTTAAAGTTTATTTTTAAATGGCTAGAACAGTACATTGATAAGGCACTATAAAAAATTCAAGCTGAATTAATAAAAGGTTGTGGAAGGAAGGATATTGTTGCTGATGTCAGATAGATCTTGACTGAAAGCAGAGAATGCGAGAAAGATGTTTACTTGTGTTTTATTGATTACAAAAGGCATTTGACTGTGTTGTTGATGATTACTGTTGAGTCCAGTACGACTCATAGTGACCCTTTGAACGAAAGACCTGAAGCTTTTTTATAACTCTCATTGTTTCTCAAAGTTCATAGGGTTTCCAGAAGCACATTGTTTAGGAAGTGGATGCCACTCCTGCTTCCAAACCTGTCTTAAACTGGGAGCTCTATCAAATACTATCCACCATGGGTAGCTGTTATGCCATTTGACACCCCAATGGCACAAGATTCAGGATCACAGCAACCCCAGGATACCTCAGTACAACAAATTAACAGTAGAGTGATATACCAGTTTACCAGTTAGAAGAATGTTCCTCCGAAATAAAATAACTACTGACTTTTAAATACAAAGGTTCTCAACAGAGGTCTTCTTGACTGTAAAAAGAGCCTTAAATAAAAATAATAAATAACCAATATAATATGTTGTTGTTATGTGCCATTTAGTTGCCTGCAGTCTATAGTGACCCTATAGCCTGACCTTACCGCCCTACCATTCAGCAGCTCTGGTCTGAGCTTGTCTCACTAAGTCTGACATACCAGCCCCCATCTCTCCAGTATCAATCCATCTCATCCGGGGTCTTCCTTTCCTGCACTGTCCTTATACCCTTCTGAGCATGATGTCCTTCTCCAAGGGCTAGTCTCTCCTGGCCACATGCCTAAAGTGTGAGATGGAGCTTCAAAATCCTAGCCTCCAAGGAGAGACTTGGTTTCACCCTCTCCAAGACAGATCTGTTTGTTTTCTGGGCAGGCCATGGTATGTTCAAGACTCTTTTCCAGCACAACAACTCAAAGGCATCGATTTTTCTTCTGTCATCCTTAGTCACTGTCCAGCTCTCTGAAGCTGTGTAGATCATAATAAATTACGGATGATATCAAGAAGAATGGGAATTCCAGAACATTTAATTGCACTCATATGAGACCTTTCCAAAGAACAAGAAGCAGTTACTTGAACAAAACAAGGACATGTTGCATAGTTTAAAATAAGGAAAGGCGTATCCTTTCTCCATGCTTAATCAGGCTGGACAAGTAATATGAGAAGTTAGGCTATATGAAGGAGAATGTGGCATCAAGATTGAGGAAGATTCATCAACAACCTGTGTTATGCAGATTACACACCTTGTTTGCAGCAAGTGAAGAAGACAAAGTACCTGCTTCAGAAGATCAAAGACTATGGCTTTTAATATGGATTACATCTCAAAATCAAGAAAACAAAAATCCTTACCAAAGGACCAATAGGCAGCATCATGATAAATGGAGAAAAGATTGAAGCTTTCAGTTATTTAACTTTGCTTGGATCAACAATCAACATCCTTGAAAGCAAGAGTCAGGAAATTAAAAGCCTAAAAAAATCATTGGGCAAAGCTTCTTTCCAGGACATCTTTAAAATTCTGAAGAGCTTTGATGTCAGCATAAAGACTAAGATGTGCCTGACTCAAGTCATGATATTTTTAATTGCTTCATAGTCATGTAGGGAGCTCTGTTGGTATAGTCCGAAGGGAATTGCTTGGTTTAAATTCACCAATGGCTTTGAGGGAGAAAGAAAAATCTCTTCTCATGCAACTTACTGCCTTAGAAACCCACTAGAGGGTCAGCTATGCATTGGCTGACAGCAATGAACTGAGTTTGAGTTATATTTATGTAAAAATTGGACAAAGAACATGTAAGACCAAAGAAGGATTGATGCCTTTGAATTGTGGTATTAGAGAAGAGTACCACATGGACCAGGGACCATCAAGAGAACAAATGAATCTGTCTTGGAGGAAGTGGGGTCAAGGTGCTTGTTAGAGGCCAGGACTGTGCCATCTCATCCCACAAGCACTGGCAATGTTGCCAGGAGGGGCCAGTGCTTAGAAAGAGCTATCATGCTGGAGGAAGTAAAGGGTCACCCTCAGCTAGATGGACTGAGACTTTGTCTATAGTGGTGGGCTGCCAGACGTGGTTTCTGTGGGTGTTCCTTGTAGATCCAAGTGCTTGGCCTCTCCTGACAATGTGGCCCAAGCAAGCAATGCACACGCTGTATTGTTATTCATAAGCCTCCCCATTGACGTCTTTTCAGAAGGAGTATATACCAGACCTTTCTTCCTACTCTCCGTCTCTAAACTCTGCTGCAGCTTCTCCGTCCGGGGTGACTCTGCTGTTGTTTAAGATGGTGGCATAGCTTCCAGCATCATAGCAACTCATGAGTCACTGCATTACAGCTAACTGGCAGATGGACAGCGGTGATTCCATTTGGGCCTGGAGATTAGGACTGAACCTGTTTTGTAAATGTGATTGTGTGATGTCTAGTCAGAACTTACTCATAGCTGACCCTCCAATGAGTTTTCAGAGACTGTGAAGCATATGGAAGGGGATTGCCTGCCTTTCTCCCATGGAGTGGGTGGTGGGTTCAAGCTGCCTGCCTCTGGGATCCTTACCTGTGAGACCACTAGAGTAATGTGTAAATTCTAAATCTAAGTGAAAGAAGACATAAGCTTGTTTTTGTCTTAGACTCATTAGTTGAGAGTAACATTGATTTAACCCAGTTGGGAAAAAATAGAGCGCTTGGGAAAAGCCTGAAAACATGTTAAAAGAAAATGAAAAATGTGCATTTGGAGGTATCTGAGTAATTTTATGCAAATCCTCGCTATGTCGATGTCACATAGGACCACAGGAGGCCGGTAACTCTCCTCCAACATGTTTTCTTTGTGTGGTTTGTGACTTGCAGGTGGATTTTCATGGGCACCCAGAGAAGCTGATCAGACTAAGGAATCCATGGGGCAAAGTGGAGTGGACAGGGGCCTGGAGCGATGAGTGAGTAGTTCCTGTTCCTGGGCCCACATTTCTCCCAGAGGAAGGGTGCTTTGTGAAATGCACAGGGTGACAGGACTGGCATAATAAATGAGTCGGTGTGCTCAGAGAAGAGGCATCAAGGATTCCAGGGTGGAGCAAACAAACAGCCCCACTTAGCTTTTGATTCTGGATTTGGAAAACCAGCGGCTCAGTCAAACTTTACTTAGTTCTGAAGGGTCCATGTGTCTCTTCTCTACCAAAGATCCAAAGATCAAATTCCTCACTCACAATTGGATTCTTTCTACCATACAATTTCTGGTCACTCTGACAAAGGTCAAGGCCCTCAGTGCTGCATGGAAGCAACACTTATGTCTTGATCCCAGGAGCTCAGGACTGCAGTGGTGTGATGAGTGAGCCGCGAGTCCCTTCTGAAGCCAGATGTTGGTGTTCCCTACACTCATGACTGGGTGAGAGAAAGGGAGGTAGCAGAGATGATGCCTGGACCCTGACAGAGGCCACCCCTGAGTTACCCTGGAGCTGATTTCCCCAGGCACTCAGAGGGAGGATTTGCAGCTGGCATGAGGGAGGCGACTGAAGCTGGAGGGAGTTGGAATTAGTCAGTATCATCGACACAGGGCCACCAGGGATGCTGGCTGCTGGCCATGGTGCGGTCCTTTCCCAGTGTGCAGTGACAGCCCAGTGGTTATGCTGTTGGCTACTAACAAAAAAGCCTGGTGGTTTCGATCCACCAGCTGCTCTACGAGGAGACCTGACAGCCTGCTCCCATGACGATGAGACTTCTACTCCCATGGAACTGACTTGATGGCATATGGCAACATATTCCTGCATCGGTGCGTCCCAGAGCTGCTCTCGCTCAGCAATGCCACTGGGGCTTTAGAAAAAGCACCAACATGCACTTGACCACATTAGTACTGTACTGCCCTGCAGTGTTTCCCCACGGTGGAGTGCTGAAGAATTGTGTCCCTGGGGTCACACTTCGGCTTCCTATATTGAAACGGTTTTTTGTTTGTTTGTTTGTTTGAAAATGTTTTCTTGGGGGGGGGGCTGTGGTGGCATAATTCGCAGGGAATTGTGCGGCTAACTCAAAGATGGTGTCCCTCTGGCTGTTTGAATCCACCTTGGGGTAAAGGTAGTCCCTCACGTGGGGTTTATAAAGCCTTTGAACCACTTTGAGTCCGTTTTACCCCAAAGGCAATGAGTAGTATCGAATGAGAGCAGTATTAAAATTTTGATTTCATTTCTTAATGAAATAAAACCCTAAACTTCAATTCTTCTGTTGTTGTTATGCTCTGTTGAGCCACCTGCGATTCACTGTGACCCTAGGTCCTTTCGCTCTGAACCCTGCCCAGTCCTGAGACAGTCTCACTGACTCTAGCACACCTACCCCCATTACCCTAGTCACTGAGTCAATCCATCTCATCCAAGGTCTTCCTCTCCTGGGCTGTCCCTCCACCCAAGCTTGGTGTCTTTCTCTAATGACCAAGAAAAGGGTGGCATATCAGAGTTAAATGGAAACTCCAGGGTTTGATAATTTTAATAGAAAATGTTTTGCTAGTCTGACAGAATGATTTACTTTTATGTTCTTTCCTGGTTATCTCTAAGCATCTAATAGGCTGGGAAGTGTGGAGGTGAGGGACATGGAGGTGGGAGGTCAATGTCTCTGAGGTAACATTTCTAAGGTATGTCTAATCTCTGCTTACCTTTTTAATATATTTTTACTACTTATTAGGCCACCTCTAAAATTTTCCCAATATGCCCTTTAACCTGTTTGTAATGAGAACATTCTGAGACTCAGACCAAATTGCAGTTTTAATGAATTAAAGAGGAACTGTTCCATCTGATCCCTCAGGGACCTAGAGGTGGTGGCGGGGGGTGGGGGGTGGAGGGGAGAGAGAGAGAGAGAGAAAGAAGGAGGAGGAGGAGGAGGAGAGGGAAGGGGAGGAGAGGGAGAGAGGATCAGAGACAAAGATAGAGAGATAAAGAAAGTCACACACATATATATACACACATACATGCACACACACAAATCAATAGACATAGAGACAGAGACATACAGGGAAAAACAGAGAAAGAAACCATAAAGAGATAAAGAGACAAAGAAAAGAGAAAAAGAGACAAAAAGAAAGAAAAATATAAACAAGAGGCAGATAAAGAGAAAGAGACTGAGAAGTATAGAGAAAAAGAGATGTAGAAAGACAGAGATAAAGAGGTAGAGAGACAGAGGTATATATAGAGAGATAAATGGAGAGACAGAGATAGTAAAAGAGACAGCAGTAAAGAGAGAAAATGAGACAGAGAGAAATCCAGAGAGAGAATGAGAGGAAAAGACACAGAGATAGAGACATACAGAGAGACACACAGAGATACGGAGAGAGAGAAAAAAGGGGAAGATAAAGAAGAATGAGAGAAAGATACAGAGAGAGACACACACAGAGACACACAGAGGGAAAGATAGAGAGAGGAGATAAAAGGCAAAAGATACAGACTGAGAGGGAGAGGGAGAGGGAGAAGGAGAGAGAGAGAGAGATTAAGAGACAGAAACAGAAAGAGGGAGCCAGAGGAGAAACAGAGAGAAGGTCACAGAGGGCAACAGAGAAAGAGAAAGGTACAGAGACAGAGGGAAGAGTAAGGGAAAGACAGAGACAGCCAAGGACACAATCAGACACAGAGAGAAAGAGCAAGGAAAAGAGAGTAAAAGAGAACGCGATCCAGTGATGGATACTGGGCATGTGTGTGTCAGCTATTACCTCGGGAAGCAAAGTTATTCTGGTTTTGATGAGAGTATTCGGCAGAAAGGTATTTTAAAAATAGACTTTGGTTTGCAATTTTTCAACATTGCACGCATATTTCAGGAAAAGTTAACTTTGCAAAGGTCAGCCAGCTGGAGATGGCATTTGAACAAAGCATAGGGAGTAGTGGGCATCACCATGGAAAGCTACCAGCCTGGTGGAGAGGCCACCCATGGTGACAGGACCTCAGGAAAATGACCATATTCCTCAGCTTGCCTGTTACTCTGCAGACTGAGTGAACCCTTTGTTTCCACAGCATGCTCACCAAACTGAGAGATGGACTTCCTTGGGCCTGACAGGAATCCCCACAGTTTTTGATCTGCACCCTCATTCCTTTTTTTTTTTTTCTATAATTATATTTTATTAATTTTCATAAACATTTACAGAGATTTTGGGCTTCCACTCATTCATTGTTGCACTATTCTCTCCACCCTCCTCCCAGTTTGTTCTTGTCCAAATGCCACAGTGCTTGTCAAAGCCAGTTCTGATTAATCTTCTTTGTCAGTGTATCCTTTGCCATTCCCTATCACTCCTCCCTGAGAGAGACTTCACCCTGAGTCATAAGGAAAAGGGGACGGCGTATTCTCTTAGCTACTTCCTGCTGAAAAGGGACGCTGTGGGTTTCAGGGTGAAGATCTTCTCTCACTACTCTAAAGGGCCCCTTTGGCAGTAGGAAACACATAGACTATTATGGAGATTGATTTTGGAATTCAGATGCACTCTTATTGATTGTGCTTGGCTGTACATGTACATATCCTTGAAGATGTATCATGGGGGTGTTGCAACCTAGAAGGCACAAATTTGACTAACAAGTTATAAGTACATGAGTCCAAAAATTATGGAAAAGTAAAAGAAAAGATTCTTTCATTGTTTTACAAACCCTCCCCCAGGTCCCCTCCACCATGCAGCCCTCGCTCTAGTCTCCTGTGATGACAGAAATACCCAGTTACATCTCTCTTTTAGACGGTTCTCTCCCTCCTCTGCTTCAGTGCAGTATACATTATTGAACCCATCTTACTCAGTGTCTCCCTAACCCCAAGGACAGTCCCATTCTACAACAGTGGCATCATGTAATATTTGTCCTTTTGTGACTGGGATATTTCACTCAGCATAATGTTCTCCAGAGTCAACCATTTTGAATAATATTGCATGAGTTCCTTGTTTTTTAATGCAGCATAGTATTCCATTGTGCGAATATACCACAGCTTCTCTAGCCATTCGTTTGTTGATGGGCACTTAGGTTGTTTCCAACTCCTTGCTATTGTGAACAAAGCTGCAATGAACATGGGTGTGCATATATCTGCTTGGATGTCAGCTATGGTTGCACCCTCATTCCTAATAGCACAGGCCTGCAGATCTTTAAGGAGTGAAATATAACTTGCCTAAATAATGCAGATGACACTGAGTGGATCATAGCTCATGTGCCACAGTAGAATTTTGCTGCCCTAGGGCCTGCTTTCTGGTTACTTTTAAAAAGGAATGAATTACAAATCAATGAATTACTTTTTGTTGAGAATACAGACAGCAAAACACCTACCAATTCAACAGCTTATACATGTAGGGTTTGGAGACACTGGTTCCAATCTTCAGCTATAATTTGCATTCTACAGATGTGAGTCCATTCACACCTACCTTCTCTGAGGTTCCACCTCATTAACATAAACTCCCTGCCCCTTGAGATGTCAGTCTAATCTTTCCAGTGATTGTTTTGATTTGATCTCATATAGAAAGAACATAAAAGGTCACACAACTTTATAGTTGTGTGTTGTGTAGCCAGAACTGACTCATAGCTGACCCCCAGCAGGTGTTCAGAGGCAGTAAATCACACTGGAGGAGACTGCCCAGCCTTCTCCCACGGAGCAACTGGGGAATATGAACCACCTGCCTTTGAGTTGGTAGTGCACTCTCTACCACAAACTACTGCTAAGCACAATTATTGTTTATTGTTTGGTTTTAAGAAGACTTCAAAGATTTAAAGATTAATATTACTGGAGTAGCTTTGGGGATTTGTCAAAAACGGACTCTAGGAAAATCTAGATTCCACGAGAATTTGAAATGCTTCTGGCATTTCCCTCCTGTAGGGTTTTCAGTGACTAAACTTCCCAGAAGTAGATCATGAAGCTTTTGTTTTGAAATGTCTCTGGGTGGACTTCAACAGCCAGTCTTTCAGATAGTAGCCAGCTCATTAATTCAGAAAGCAAGGCTGATGGCCTTAGTGTTCTCACGTCATGCCACTCTGGTCCTGGTCTGCACTCATTCTCCAGACTTTGAGCACCGCCCCTCCCACCCTGTGCCCCCCATTTCCATTATGTTTGTTAGCAGTCCATTTCTGACCCTTTGGGGGGAAGCTGATGGCAGTAAATAGCTAGTGCTGCAGAAGAGCCCCTTTAGAACTACCATCTTTGCTTTGTTTTTTTCCCAGTGCACCAGAGTGGAATTACATAGACCCCAGGCTGAAGGAGGAGCTGGACAAGAAAGCTGAAGATGGGGAGTTTTGGTGAGCATTGCCTGCGGAGAGTGATTAGCTGTGGGTCTGTGACAGGTTCATATGTGGGGTTAGTGTGTCTCCACACATCCCAGGAAGGTGGCAGGCCTCCTGGCTAGGAGACTTCATTTTTCTCCCCTCATCTGTGCTCATCTAATATTAATCATCAGGGGAGCCCTGGTGGCCTAGTGGTAAGAAGCTGCACTGCAATCACAAAGGCACACAGTTAAATCCACCAGCTGCTGCTGCACAGGAGAAACATGAAGAGTCACCTCCTGTGTGATTTACTGCCTCTGAAAACCCACCAGAGGGTCAGCTATGGGTTGGTTCTGACTCAAAGTACACAACAACAATGAGCAATATAGCAACAGGTCTAAAGCATTGAGGTCGGGACACCCAGGCCCATCACACACATTGGTCACCAGCTTGTCTTCCAGTTTTTGTGTCTTTCCTATGAAATCAGAGCTTCCTCTGCCTCGTGAAAGCGTTCTCAGGTTCAGCTGACCATCACACTAGGATTTCCCTCACTGTTTGGCTAAGGACAATAAGAAGGACACTGCGTGATTATGGCACTGCTGAGAGGGGGTGACGGGTTTCTGTGCTGGACACCACTAGGAATTAAAGAGGCACTCCTGGAGTAAAGACACAATGACGCCACTGCTGTCCAAAATGGTTTTCTTCAACAAGTTCAACACAGTAGTGCTGGAGAAGATAACTGAATATCCCATGGACTGCCAAGAGAACAAACAAGTCTGTCTAGCAAGGAGTGTGACAAGGGTGCTCCTTGAAGGCAAGGATGGTGACACTCCATCTGACAAACTTTTGCTATGTGGTTAGGAAGGTCCAGGCCTTGGAGAAAGACATCATTCTTGGAAAAATGGAGGGTCCGTGAAAGAGAGGAAAGCCCTAAACAAGATGGATTGGCACAGTGCCTATAACAATGGGCTTGAGCGTATCAGAGATGATGAGGATGGCACAGGATAGGGAAGGGTTCAGACCTGTTGTTCATAGTGTCGCTGTGAGTCATAATCTACTTGATGACACCTAACAACAACTACAACATCATTAACAATACTAGGATCCAGTAATTCCACTCCTAGGAACGGAAATGAGGGACAAAAATAAGTATTTGTAGACCAAAACGACTGGAACAGAACATCAACAGAGAACTGCCAGATGTGCAGGCTGGGTTTAGAGAGGGTCAGGGTACTAGAGATATTTTAGCTAATGTTAGATGGATCTTGGCTGAAAGCAGAGAATACCAGAAGAATGTCTATCTGTGTTTCACTGATTATGCAGACATTTGACTGTGTGGATCATAACAAACTGTGGCTAACTCTGAGAAGAATGGGAATCCCAGAACATTTGATTGTGCTAATGCGAAACCTGTACTTGGACCAGAAGGCAGTTGTCAGAATAGCAAGGAAACACTGCATAATTCAAAATTGGGAAGGGTGTACACCAGGGATGTGTTCTATCTCCACACCATTTCAATTTATATGCAGAACAGATTATCCAGGAGGCTGGGCTCTATGAGGAGAAATGTGGCATCAGGATTGGAGGAAGACTCATCAACAATCTGCATTTTGCCGATGACACAACACTCCTTGCTGAAACTGAGGAGGACTTGAAGTGCTTGCTTCAGAAGGTCAAGGACTTCAGCCTTCAATATGGATTGAAGCTCAATATCAAGAAAATAAAGATTCTCACCAGTTTGCTTGGCTCCACAATCAACACTCTTGGCACCTGCAGCCAAGAAATTAAAAGATGTATTGTGATGGGAAAGCCTGTGGTTAGAGAACTCTCTGAAGTACTGAAGAGCAATGATGGAGATTTAGGTATGCCTGATACAGGCCATGTTCTTTGCAATCACTTGCTATGCATCAGAGATGTGAACAATGACTACAGAGAATAGGAGAATTGATGTCTTTGAGCTGTGATGTTGGAGAAGAGTATTAAATATACTATAGACTGCTAAGAGAATGAACAGGTTCTCCCTAGAGAGGGTGAAACCAGACTTCTCTATGGAGGTAAGGATTCTGAAGCTTTGTCTGGCATACTTTGTGCATTTGTAAGGAGAGACCAGTCCTTGGAGAGGGACGTCATGCTTGGGAGGGTGGAGGGTCAGCACAGGAAAGGAAGACCCTCTATAAGATGGACTGATTCAGTGATTGTGGTAATGGGAGTAGGTATGTCAGAGACAATAGGATTGATGCAGGATAGAGCAGGGTTTAGGGCTCTTCTACATAGGGTCGCTATGAATCGCAGGTGACTCAATGTCACATAACAACAACAACAACAACAACAATGTTGGTTTCAGCATTATTTGCAGTTGCTGAAAGGTAGAAACAATATGGGTGCCCATCAACAGATGACCAAAGGTAATGTGGTAAAGTTACATGATGGGATATTAACCAGCCAACAGAAGAGTAGTCCTGAAACATGGAGGTGCCTGGAGAGACCTTGAAAGCATGAGGTCAATCATAGAGGGACCAGACTCGTATGATTTCAATTATGAATATTAAGAGTAGGTAAAAGTATGGAGACAAAAATTAGTAGTTACCAGGAGATACTATCAAGAGAACAAACAGGTGTTAGAGAAGGTATGACCAGAGTGCTCCTTGGAGGCAAGGATGCTGAAATTCCATTGCACAATACTTAGCATGTTGTTAGAAGAGGCTGCTCCTTGGAGAAGGACATCACGGTCATTGAAGGAGAGGAACTCTCTGAGATAGAGTGACACAATAACTGTGCCAGTGGGCTCAAGTGTATGAGAGATGGTGGTGAAGGCACAGGATAGAGCAGGGATCAGAACCAATAGGGTTGCTAACCCTATAGGCACCTAACAACAACAACAACGACAACAACAACAACAACAACAGGTATTAGAGGTTACAGTGTGGGGAGGAGGAAATGAGGAGCTAAAACTCAAAATGCTAACAGCCACCCCAAGGAAATGACACAGGAGCAAAGCCTTCAGGTTTGGCTAAAACCCCAGAAAGTGGGCTTTGTCCAGGCAACCTCACTGGGCCTCTCAGTCCCTCCTCCCTTGAGTGGGCATCCTCTGGCTCCTTCTCCTCTAGGATGGCCTTTGAGGATTTCTTGACTCAGTTCTCACGCCTGGAGATCTGCAACTTGTCCCCAGACTCTTTGACCAGTGAGGAGGTGTCCAAGTGGCACATGGCTCTGTTTAATGGCTGCTGGACCCGGGGGTCCACTGCTGGGGGCTGCCAGAACTACCCAGGTAAGGCTAAGGCTCAGGCTGGTCCAATGTCCTCCCTAAACTGGAGTCTCTGGAGAATGTTTGGAGAATGCCTGCTGACTTGCTCCCTGCTTCCTTGGTGGCCCTTGGTGGCATTGCTCCCATCCTGAGCTTGGAGGCCGGGTCATTGTAGTGGGCGAAGCAGTGCAGTGGGGGCCAACCTTTGGCACTTCTTTGTGTTCAGACCTCCACTGCTCCCCCACCTACTCCTGAAGGACTCACTTCTTGATACTAACCATGCTCTTTCTTCTCTTGGGCTTCCACATGGCATCCCCAGTCAACTTCTGGAGTCCCCCTAGGTTTACTGGGTCTCTCAGTGTGGGGACAGTGTCAAGCGGTGTGCTGCAGGGGTGTCATATAACCTCTGCCATTTCAGCAGACCACATGTGTGAGAGGAGTCACCCGGCTTTGGATCTGCACCAAAGTCCCAAGCAGAGGGATGTCAATTGTGGTCCAGGAACACACACACACACACACACTCTCTCTCTCTCTCTCTCTCTCTCTCTCTCTCACACACACACACACTCACACACATACACGACACTCCTCTCTCTGAGATCTCTCACTGGGGAAGCTGATCTGGTGCAAACCTTTGCCTCTGCACTAACCCTGGGCTTCATCTTATTAAAGGTGGAAATCTTCTCTAGTTCATAAATCATCACTAATACCTGTAAAGGCTCCTCCTAGGTTGAATCAGCTGAGGCAGCATCTGATGAAGAAACTCCGAAAATCCATATAACCTGAAAGGAAAGAAAACAAAAATACACCAGCTCTTGGCACTTGGCACCTCCTGTATCCACTCCACCTGGCCAGATTGACACGGATCAGTGATACTGAGTGACAGAGCCAGCACCCAGACAGGGCCACCCTGGGGCTGTGGTCAGCCTCGTTGAAAGCAACATGATAATAAAACCCATGTGGTGTAGTCCTAGGACCTTGTGAGCTTCCTTTTCCTTCCCCATCACACCCACCTTCCTAGCGTTAGACTCATGTTCTAAGCGAGAGAGGAGCCACACTATCTCTTGCCCTTATGGAGTTTAGGGCACCTGGGTCATTGTTTCTTTACTTGGAGCCTCATTTTGCTAATCTTCAAAATAGGACCATGAGACTTACTTTCCAACTCCACTGGGTTGCATAGCATTGTGTGAAATGGAAAGTTGTTGTTTTATAGTCCATTCTCTTCTCCCAGCTCTGTTGTAGGAATGCCTACAACATTGAGCTTGGGAGAAAGGAAAATGTGTTTGGCACTAATGAGCTCTTAGAAGTGATAGAAAATTTGTGTGGATCACTCTGGGTGCTCAGGACTGCGGGAGATGCCCAGGGTGACAGTGGGCCCCCAATCAGTTCCTTGTCTGTGCTGCTAGCTAGCTGTCAGGGGGCAATAGCCCTAGGTAATGAGGTAAGTATGAAAGATTATAGAATTTCCTTTGTCTCCTCTGAAATCTACAGATACTTGGCTTTAACATCCATACATTTGTGCCTTGGAAAACAAAACAAAACAAAACAAAACAAAACAAAACAAAACCAAAACAAAACTAGTAGCGTGGATTGTGAGAAAGGAGGATGGAACAAGTGATTTCATTGTTAAGAAGCAGCCTAAATGGTGGCCCCTGGTCATCTGTGAATGTCTTGTTTTATCATGTTGTTGTTGTTATGTGCTGTCGAGTTGCTTGTGACTCATAGTGAACCTATGTACAACAGCCCTAAACCCTGCTCTATCTTGGGCAAATCACACTGTCTCTGACACACCCATCCTGATTACCCCAGTCACTGAATCAATCCACCTCATAGAGGGCCTTCCCCTCCTGCGCTGTCTCTCCACACTCCCAAGTCCTTCTCCAAGGACTGGTCCTCCTTACGACAGGTCCAAAGTATGTCAGACGAAGCCTCAGAATCCTTGCCTCCAAGGAGCAGCCTGGTTTAACCCTTTCCAGGATGAATCTGTTTGTTTTTCTAGCAGTCCATGGTACCCTCAATACTCTTCTCCAGCACCACAGCTCAAAGGCATCAATTCTCCTTCCATCTTCCCTAGTCATTTTCCAACTCTCTGATGTGTAAAAAGTGATTGCAAAGACCTGTATCAGATTTACCTTAGTCTCCAGAGAGACACCATTGCTCTTCAGAACTTTATGTCAGACTTTATTTTAGAGGAAGGAGGGAGACCCCAAAAGCAATAACAAGAACAAAACTCCCCTCTTTTCAGGCCTCACCGTGATTGAAATTGTTGAGGCCTTAAATATAAATCTTTGAAACTAAGCAATCTTGAAACACTCATAGGTGGTGCCACAGGTATTTTGTTTTGAGCTTCATCTCACACACTTTGGGCATGTTGCTAGGAGAAGTTAATCCTTGGAGAGGGACAGCATGCTTGCGAAAGTGGAGGGCTGGTGAAAGAGAGGTAGACCTTCAACCAGGTGGGCTAACACAGTGACCACAGCGATGGCCTCGAGTGTGTCAGAGACGTGAGGATGGCGCAGGACAGGGCAGGGGTCAGATCTGTTGTTCACAGTGTCGCTGTGAGTCATACTCAACACAATGGCACATGTGCTCTGGAAGAGGTCTTGCCTGTTCAAACCCTCAAGTGAGGTGACAGGGCTGCTGGTGTGAGGGATCACTCTCCAGAAAATTGAGGTTGCGCCTGAAGCAGGGGCCCCCCTGAGAGAAAGTGTAGGTCAGTCTGGCCAGGGGTCCCTGAGATAGGGAGATTGGTTCTCCAGACTAGTCTTTTCCTGGACATCTGTCCTGGGGTCCCATGTTCCTCTCAGAGACCTCCCTGAAGCAGGAGGTGGGTTTATCTGACAGACCAGGAAGCAGAGGACAAGGAGGGGTCAACAGCTCCCTAGGTGGACTGAGACTGCTCTTCCCATGAGGTACAGGGGGCACTGGGATTTTGGTGTTTTTAATATTCCAGCCAACCATTCATGGGCTGCTGCTTGACCAGCAGAAGTGCCGAAATCCTACGTGAGATTTCTCTCTCTGTGCGCACGTGTGTGTAGATAGGAAGTAATACCTCTTTGCTTGTAAAGGAAATTTTCCAAGATCCACTTTAGGTACTGTTTGACTAGCCAGTCTCTATTGTTTTTGTTGTGTACCACGGAGTCTGAACTGACTCACAGCTGATCCTCCAAGTGGGTTTTCAGAGGCAGTAAATCACACAGGAGGAGACTGGCCATCCTTTCACAAAGCAGCTGGTGGATTTGAACCACATGCCTTTTGACTGACAGCTCATCTTCTTACCACCAAGAGCTCCCAAGTAAGTCTCTTGTTCTTGTTATGCACTGTTGAGTCAGAACTGACTCATAGTTGATCCTCCAGCAGGTTTTCAGAGGTGGTTTAACAGCATGGGAGAAGATTGTCCATCTTTCTCCCACAGAGCAGCTGGTTGATTTGAACCACATGTCGTTGGTTGGCAGCCCCACTCCATACTACTAAGCCACCAGAGCTCCCCAGTAAGCCCTTAAGTATCACAATGTCTTGTATCTGACTACTAACCCAAAGGTTGTTGCTGTATGTGCTGTCAAGTTGAATAAGACTCCTGGTGACTCTATGAACAACAGATCTGAACCCTGTCCTATCCTGTGCCGTCCTCAGCATCTTTGACACACTTAGAAGGTGGGGTTAACCAAATGCTTTTGAGTTGAAGCCAACTCATGGTGGTATGTGTGTGAAAGTAGAGCTACATCCCACAGAGTATCCCATGGCTGACCTCTCCGAATGTAAATCAGTCCTTTCTCCCAAGCTGCCTCTGGTGGCTTGAGCTGAGCACATTGACCGTTTTGTACCATCTGAAACTCCATTAGTTTGCCAAGGGTCAGCTTCCACTGGGATGGTAAGCTTCTCACCTTCCATTTCTCCCCCGACCCCATGTCCTTACCCCCTGTGGGGGTTGACCACTGCCGGGATGGCTTCCAGCCACTTATTGGACCAACCCTCAGTTCAAAATCCTTTTGGATGAGGTGGATGACAGCAATGAGGAGGACAGCAGTGAGCCCTCCTGCACCGTGCTGCTGGGCCTGATGCAAAAGAATCGTCGGCGACGGAGGAGGCTTGGGCAGGGACTGCTGAGCATCGGCTACGCTGTCTACCAGGTATCCCGAGCTAGACTTGTCCTCTATGCGTTGATTCTGGTCTGTAGCTCTCGGTTAGTGATTGAAGCACTTATTTTCTATTGCTTATATAATCCTATTCAAACATTCTTCTTGTTCCTCTGAAATATGTCTCCCAGTGGCTTTACTGAGGCCTGAATTTCACTACTAGAGATTCACTTCTGTGGTGTAAGCCTTTACTTTGTTTTAATACTGAGGTGTACACTGAACTCTGTTGGTCCTTTGGAGCCCTATATGGATACGATTTCCAAATGTAAACATCTCAGGGGGCAGGATCCAAAGCATATGGGGCACAGGCACTTAGAGGGTGCAAGAGAGCTGAAATGCTTCTGTAGGTGGGAGAAGGGTGGCTGGGAACCAAAGACATGGGGTTGCTTTCTCTCTGGGCAGCCTTGGGCTCCACTGGCATAGTCCACAGTGAACTGTGTGATAACACAAAGATGCTGCCTAACTGGTGGTCAATTTACCAACCCATAGTGGTTCCGAGGGAGAAAGATAGGCACTCTCCTCCGCTGACATTTATAGCCCCCAAATCTCATGGAGGGTTGGCTACGATTTGGTTCTGACTCAAAGACAGAGTGATCTAGCAGTAGGCAGCCTGGAGACACTTGCTAGAGCACATGGGACTTGGAGGGTAGGGCATGTACCCGGCCACCTAACTGAGTTGGCTCTGGATCTGGAAGCAGAAGTTGTCTTTAGTCTCATGCTACATTCTCTGACTCTTTAGTCCAGTTTGCACTGATAACCCTAATTGTCAATGACTTCTTCATTTTGCTTGGATCCACAATCAACACTGTTGGCACCAGCAGCCAGGAAATAAAAAGTCATTGGGAAAATATGCATCCAGGACCCTTTCCAAAGTGCTGAAGAGTAAGGGTGCCATTTTGAAGTCAAATGTACACCTGCTCTAAACCTTGATCTTTCAGAATACTTGCCATGCATCTAAAAGTTGGACAATGAAGAAGGATGAAAGAGTAGAATCAATACCTTTGAATTGTGGTGTTGGGAAAGAGTGCTGAATAGGCCCTGGGCTGCCAAAACGATAAACAAATGTATCGGAAAAGGTGCAGTCAGGGTGCTCCTTGTAGGCAAAGATGGTGAAAATTTGTCTCACATACGGTGGACATGTTTTTAGGAGGGACCAGTCCTTAGGAAAGGGCATCATGCTTGGAAAGGTGGAGGGCAGAGAAGGAGGAGAAGACCTTCAGCAAGATGGATTGGCACAGTGACTGTAACGGTGGTTCAGATTCATTGTTTGTTGGGTTGCTAAAAGTCATTGCTTGACGGCATTTAGCAACAACAATGGATGTAACAGCAGACATGCTAACTTAAGACCTTTAGCCTAACCTGGAACAAATCTTTCAGACAGAGGAGATTCCTTATAAAAAATCCCAGAGAGATTTAGAGTGTTGTTTTTTTTTTTTTTTGATAATGTGTGTACCGTCAAATCAGATCTGACTGGTACAGGAGGAAATTGTCCCTCCTTCTTCAGCAGAGCATCTGGTGGATCCGAACCTCACATCTCTGGGATTGCAGTGCAGCTTCTTGCCACTAGTCCACCAGAGCTCGCCAGAGTGATTGTTTTTGTACAATTTTGTTCTAAACAAATTTCTAGGAAAATACTATAACTCCGACTAGGAAGATCAATATATGACACAGAACTCGCTGTAGGCTCAACAGCTCTAAGTTGATACATGGAAAAGAAGTATAATTAAAAATATCTGAGGAAAAGTGGGGTTGTGCAATGGGCTTCTGCTGCATTGAATGGAAGTGCAAACAGTCCAGATGCTGTGGGAGCTTTTCAAACCCTTTGCTTCTCTTGCTCTGGACATGCACGTGCATGTGTGTTTTAGGTTGGAAGAATGGAAGTTGGGAAAATTACCTCGTGGTATAACATAGAAATTATAATTAAATTGCCTCCAACCCTCTTATAGCTCCCCCCTCCCATACCACCTAGAATGTAAATAGCATAAAAGCATATTCTTTGCTTATGGGTGAGAAGTCTTTACTATTCACATGTCAATTGAACAAACTTGGCCACTCACTGTGTGCCATGACTATAATACAAGTTGAAGACACAGAAGAATGTCACATGGCTATGGCCACCCTTGATGGTGGGTATAAGACACTCAGCGAGCACCAGTGCAGTCCAATTACTGTTTACTGAGATGGTGTAATCTCCTTTTTTTTTGTTTGGATAGAAGTCAAAGTGATGAACTACAGTCTCCTGTGAAGGACAACTCTCTTGATAAGAGCTGGAAAGATGAGGATAGTTGGAGGATAAAAAACAAGCTCCTCAGATTCCATGTGTTCTCCAGATTCATTGTCCACCAGGCCTGCTTTATATTACCTTATCCACAAAGCCTTCTTTTAAAGGCAGGTGAGCTAACATACTGATATAGCTTGTTTGGATGAAGCATGCCAATTTCCCCTCAAAACTTTACTCATCTCAAATCATTAAGGTTGCCTCTACTTTGAAGAGGCAGCTCTTCTTCACTTATAATCTAAGTCCCTGACAACCTGAGAAAAACTGAAAGAGGATATGGTCTTCACAATTACTGCTATGCATTAGAGAGCTGGACAATGACTAAGGGTGACGGAGAAGAATCAATGTCTTGGGTTTGTGGTACTGGAGAAGAGTATTGAACATACTATGGACCGCCAAAAGAACACACAGGTCTGTGCCAGAGAGGGTGAAACAGTTTGTTTCTTGGAGACTAGGATTTTGAGGCTCCGTCTCACATACTTTGGGCATGTGGGCAGGAGGGATCAGTCCTTGGACAAAGATATCTTGCTTGGAAGGGTGGAGAGTCAGTGCAGGAGATGAAGATCCTGGATTGACACAATAACTGGGTCAATGGTAGGTGTGTCAGAAACAGTGAGATTGGCTTAGGATAGAGCAGGGTTCAGTACTATTGTGCATAGGGTTTCTATGAGTTGCAGCCAACTTGATGGCATGTAACAATAACAAAAACAACCTGAGAGACTCATCTCCTGCCATTATATCAGACAAAGTTCCATTGCTATTCATAAGATTTTTTCAGGACCAATTTTCTTTCAAAGTAAATCAACAGGTCTTTCCTTTCTTTCAGTCTTTCTTACTCTGGACTCCAATGAACACTGTCCACCATGAGTAACCCTGCTGGTATTTGAAATACTAGAGGCATAGCTCCAGCAACACAGCAGCAGACAGGCCACTATAGTACACCAAAGTGACAGCAGGGGTGACTTTAGTTATGTGGATGGAGTAAACAAATGTGACATGACTTCAAGTGAGAAGAAATAGCTGCAAACTTTTTTGGTAACTGGAAAATGGAATTCATGATTCTAGGAAAATTGAGAGTCATGGAAAACAAAATGGAACTCTTGAAGCTTAGTGAGGTGCACTTTAGAGAATGGGATAGGGAGCTCTGGTAGCTTAGTGGTAAGGAGTTTTGCTGCCAACCCAAAAGCACATGGTTCAAATCAACCAGCTGTTCTGTGGGAGAAGGATGGACAGTCTAACTGGAGGGTCACTTATGAGTTGGTTCTGACTTGACAGGAAACAACAAGAAGTAAGCTGAAATGGACTATATTGGATATTATCCTGGGAATGACAAATTGAAGAGGAATGATGTAAAATTCATTGATAAAAAGAACATTTCAAGATCTATGCTGAAGTACAATAGTGTCAGTGATAGGATATCATCCCTGGACCTTAAAGGAAGACCACTTAATGTGAGTAACATTCATAGTTCAACTTCTAATGCCAAAGATGGAAGGTTTTTACCAACATTCTGAAGTAGATCAAACATTCAGTCAAGATGCATTGATAATTACTGAGGTTTGGGATGGAATACTGGAGGAAAAGAAGGATCATTAGTTGAAAAATACGGCCTTGGTGCTAGAATCTACGCTGGAGATCATGATAGAAATTCTCAGGACCAACTTTTTCCCAGCAACATAAACAGTGAACATACATGTGGCCTCATTAGATGTAATACATACAATTTAAATCTGTAGATATGGATGATGGAGAAATAGATATTGGAAGTCACTACCACCAGCCTGAGTGAAGTGCCAACTGCAAAACACACCATTAATAATTCATATGCAAGTTTAAGCAGAAGTAGAAGAAAATGAAAATAAGTCTGTGAAAGCAGAAAATAGCCTTTAGTATAATCCCATCTGAATTTTGACATCATCTTGAGAAGAGAAAGACCAAATGAGTTCTGGAATAACATTAAAGACATCATTCATGAAGAAAGCAAAAGATAATACAGTTAAAGAACCAAAAGACCTCAGTGTTTATCAGTAGAGTTTCTAAAATCTGCTCTTGAGTACTGAAGTGAATGGATAGAATAATAAAGAGCTGAACAGAGAATGTTAAAGGATGGGTCCAGAAGACTTGCTGTTTTGTTGTTATGAACTTTAAGTTGGAATCAACTCATAGATGATCCTCTAGTGGTTTTTCAGAAGTTGTAGATGGCATGAGAGGAGATTACCCAACTCATGAAGCAGCTGGTGAATTTGAACCATCTGTTTTTGGGTTGGAAAAGCAACTCCTTACCAATCAGCCATCAGTGCTCTTTACCATATAAAGTATTTTATATAAAGTATTAAAATGAAATGTGCAAAGATGTGGAATTGGAAAACAGAAAGTGAAGAAAATGGTTGATGTTTCTCAATAATGAAAGAAATGAAGGAAAAAATCAAGCTGAATGAATTTAAATGAAAAAATATCAGGACTTCAAAAGAATTGAAGAAAAAAGAATTTACTATATTAAGTCAGTGAATCATACTGGGAGCATCAAAAGAAGACAGAAGGAATACACAGAGGCTCTGTATCAAACAGAATTGGTTGATACCCAACAATTCTAGGAGGTGGCATATGACAAAAAATGTCAATAGTTGATTTGGTAGTTGATCTTGAAGGAAGAAGTCTACGCTGTACTGAAGGACTTGGGAAAAACCAAAATAGGCTGTAGGAATTAATGGAATTT